GACATTGCAGTTTTATGCAAGGTGAGTAAAAGAACGGCAGCAGCTTCCTCAAAGAAGTACATCTAACATTGACAACTGATTTACCTTTGCAAACTACTCAAGAAGGGCAGCAGCTTCCTCCTCCACAGCTATGCGGGACTCAAGCACATCCCAGTTAGGCCAAAACCACCTCTTGATTAGCATTATGGATTCAACTGCATTGATGGATTCAGAGTACTACTGCCGGCACTCCCTGTTTCTTGGCTTGCTGAAGAAAGAAAGCAACCAACCAACAAATTCAGATCAGGGGCTCGCAAGCAAGCAAGAAGGCCAAGAGAGCAAAGGAGGGGCTTACCATCAGCTATGCGGGAGCCGGGCGAGGTAGCGCTTTCTGAGACGGTCGATGGAGATGCCGAGGTCGCCAGGCGCGGGGGGCGTTCCGGTTTCTTGGCCTGCTAAAGCAGCGGGACAAGCGACGTCGAGTGGCCGGCCGGCGGCAGCAGTGGGGACGTGGACGAGTGGTCGGACACGCCGATGGCTGAGGCAGCGGCGCCCTCGCTGCACGTCGCTCGGCGCACGCCGTGCCGCAGAGCTTCGAGCTGTCGTCGCTCCTTGCGGAGGGTGGCGGCGTCGGGGAGCAGTCGTCGCCCTGGCCGTGCCTGTGAGACCGGGTCACGGCGCCGCAGCACACCAGGGAAGAGGAAACCACATCAGGGAAGGAACATGTGGAAGAAGAAGAGGAGAGGGGGCGCATCAAGCAAGGGGAGTGGCGTATCGGAGTTGCTCCGCTTGCAGATCGAGCCGCCCCGCATCGGATCGACCTGCGACCTCGCCGGAGAGGAGCACCGCCACGGGTCCGACCGAAATGGTACCGGATCGAGCACGCACGCCCAGGTCAGGAAGCTTGCAGCGTCCGCCTCCGTCAGTCGCGCCGCACACAGCTTGTCGTAGCCCCAAGCCCCGCCAATTCATGAGACCGATTCGGTGGTCGGCGGGCGGAGTCGCGCGGTTGCGGGATCGTCGATGCGCGCGGCGATGTGGCGGGGGGGAGCCGGGGAGGGGAGAGGGCGAGAGGTGGTCAGTGAGTGGATAGGAGAGGAGAGAGTGCTGGGGATAAGGTTCATTTTTTATATATTTAGTTTTTTTTAGGTGGGGGTAAGCTTGGGTGCTGGTTGGGCCGTGGTGGATAGCTTATTTGGGCCTTTGATGGCAAATTTTGCTCAACAAAAAAACATAGATATTTAAAGTATATATTTACCTCAGAAAAACAATAAAAGTGTATATATATATATATTAAACATGGTTCATAAAAATAAATGTTTTTATACTTATTACATATATTGAGGGTATGACAAAAAAAATGAGAGACGAAAACGAATATACTTGGTTTATGTTGGTTTGCTTGCATGTTTTTATCTTTTGTTGGAAAATTTTGCATAGCCTATATAAATAATTTAAAAAAATCAGATGAATACTTATTTATATATGAACATTATAGTTCGTTGTTTTCCCTGAATTGTTGTGTTAGTAAAATGATTTAAGCAACATAATTTTCTAATAATATCAAAAAGGTTTATCTTTTTTACAAACAAAATAGTTGTGTTAGTTTCACTTTTATTTTTATTATATATTATCTTTGATTATATGATGAAGTAGAAAATATCATTTATATTTCATCATAGACATAATTTTCTAATTCATATGTATAATGGTTTATTAATATTTATATCTAATTGTTACTGCCACTTGTATGTTATTTACATTAGTTATTCATTCCGATTAACATGCCGGGCTATTATTGGTATCTAGCAGTCGCCAATGCCAAAAAACGTCAGATTCAAGTATTGCAAAAATGGAATTCAATTATTAAATAATTGTGTTTGTGTTATATTGTTTCTATGTGTGAAATTTAACATGTAACTCTTGCAAACTATTTCAAGAGCCCGTGGCAACGCACGGTCATTCTACTAGTGTGCTTAGGTTTCGGGTTTTGGGTTTTTTCAGGGTTCCTTGCATGAAGTACACCATGTAAAAAGCACTGTTGTGCTTCCACATGAATCGCAGATGTACTTCTTGAAAGTGAAAATGCATAGTTGCTGAAGCACAACAGTCCTTCCCGAGAAGTGAATAGAACAAGTGTACTTCCCAAAAAAAGCGAAAAGCACAACTGTTCTTCCCGGTCTCCTTTTTTTTATTTTCTTGGTTTTTTTCAGTTTTTATTTTTCCCAATTTCCTTTTTTTGGTTGTAGGTTTTTCAGGTTTTCTCAGTGAAAGAAGTTTGTTCAAATCATTTAATTTTTGAAAATCTCAATGCGAGAAACCCTACAGTGAAAACAGGTCATGATTTGGACGCACGGCTCGATAGATATAACATTTTTAAAAAATGATTCTACGCAAAAAAAATCATAAAATTCACAGGTTGTGACAAGTGTCGTACATAGTGTGCCGTTTGTCACCACCAGAGAAGGTGCAAGTGACATTTACAAAGAGTATCCTTTAACTAGTGATTTCACAAACAAAAAAAGGCAAGCAAAGTGGATAACTACCTGAATCCTCCTAGAAGGATTGCACGGAGTGTATCCAGGTCACGAGAAGCCCACTCGCAAACTGAGGCCCGTGGAAGAAGAGAGATCGTTAGTTTTCTCTTCCTTTTCTAATATTTTCATTTTCCACGGGGAGTTTCTTCACTTTTCAGTGATTGATTAGTACAAGAGGCTCGAAAATATTGACACCAATAATTAGAGACTCGAGAAGTGGAGATGTCCAGTAAAATAAAAGGAGACACAGCAAACCACCACCACCAACTAGTAAAACAAACTGTGTGTAGTACTCCTACGTAGTAGTTGTTGCTGTATCAGCTTCCAATCATTTTACTGCTCCCTCCTCCAGTTGAAAAGAATCCAACCAGTTGTCGAGAGAAAGAAGATGGTGCCAAAAGGTACGTACGTAGTAGTCTTTGCGCATCGCCCGCCGCAGCAGCCTTGCTCTGAATCTGTGGCGGTACATCTGCAAAGGCATAGCAGGCCCACGCTTCTCCCTCTTTTGCTCTGCGGTCCAAGGGCCGGAAGCCGCTTTCCTCTGGCCCATGTAAGAAAGCAGGCTCACACTGTAGCACTCCGTGCAAACTCCAGTGCTACAGTGTGGTCTAGTACTGCGCAGAACATGCAAGACGGACAATTTTCTTTTCAGCAGAAAAAAAGAAAAGAAAAGAGAGGGTTTTTTTTTTTTGCGGATCAAAAAAGAAGAGTTGCTGCAGCATGCAGTGCAGTGCACACCTCGCTCACATGCCAGATTGCCAGTGATCCCCACGACCTGACGATGTACATGTTGGCCTCAGTGAAGCCCAATTGACGAGAATTCTCTTTCTTCAATTCTTTTTTTTACAGGGAATTCACTTCATTTTTCAGTGATCGGAAGAAGAGAAAAAGAAGCACGAGACTACCAATCCCTTCTGAAAAAGAGGCTCGAAAGCAGCAATAATAGTAATTCTAGATGTGAAATTGGAGTATGGACCTGGAGCTCCTGTGATGGTAGATGAGTATGGACCTGGAGGCTGGAGCTAGGTAGCATTTCAAGAGAATCCATCCAATTGAACTGGTGCTGGAGACAAAGAAGAGGTGCCAAAAAGGAGTCTTTGGAGAGCCAGCAGCCTTCTTTTCTTCAGACTGCAGTTCTGAGATGGTGCAGTGCATCCTCTTTTCTCTGGGAGGCCCAACACCAACACCACACCACTCTCTGCAGCTGCAGACCCGACTGCTAGTAGTGCTTGCTGGGTACCAATGCTGCGGCATGCATGCATGCACACCTCACTCACTAACAAAGTAACAATGCGAGTCATCTCCACTACACTACCTGACGATCTGCGATAACGCAATCATGCTGGCTGGGCTCAGTACAGTGCCTCCCAACCAGGAACCAGCCAACATCACACGATGTGGATTCTGAGGTGCAAATACAGGAGGTCTAAATCGACGGCCACCCAGGCCGGACAGCTCACCAAGATCACATACATAATGTAGTACTACAATCATATTTTTTTCTTTTCAATCGAGACCATAGAGCCTTAGAGAGAATAACTAGAGAACACAATGTTCCATCAGCATAGATCATAATGCAGTACCATCCATGATCCATCCATCACAAGAGCTTCAGAACACGTACAAATTCCAGGAACACGACACGCAATTCTCCGGTCCAAATGCACGCGAGAGAGAAAGTGGTAGGAGTGGGGTGCCCAAAAGTAGCCTTTGCGCGTCACCCTCGCAGCCTTGTTCTGGACTTGTGATGCCACGCGCATCTCCTGCAGATGCAGCAGCAGCCAGCAGGTCCTCTCGCTGTTCCCTCTTTTGCTCTCCCGTCCAAACGACACAAGCCGCTTTCCTCTGGCCCCAAACCAGCACCCACCCACACAACCACTCTGCGCAAACTCGAGCACTGCCAGTGTGCTCCAGTACTCTCTGCTCTCGCACAACAGGCAAAACGGACAAACCATTTCTTATCTGAAGAAGCAAAACAGACAAACCATTTCTTATCTGAAGAAGCAAAAGATAGATGCTGCAGGAGCATTGATCGTAATGCAGCAGTACCTCCAACCAGGAACCAACCAAGACGACACGGTTTTGAGGTAGTACATTTCACGGAGATCATACATAATGATGTGCCATCATGGATCATAATGCGGTACCATCCATCACATCACATCACATCGCAAGAACTTCAGAACATCTACATGCTTCAGCAGTTCACCCCAAAATCGATCGATCGCGGCAGCCAGCCAACGGTTCCCATCAACAAGCCATCATCATCAAATTGCCAAACATGGCCAAGAATCTGGTAAGAAGAACTTGCATGCACATTGCGCTCCCATCCCACCCAAAAAAACATTGTAATGAACCAACGACTGAATTCTACGTCGATCTCTCCGGTAGCCTGTACCAAATTCAGGTTTCGCCCAAACCTCCTATCTATCTACTATCTGTCTGTCAGTCCGCCGGTCACCACCGAGCACCGCCGAGGGTCACTCACATGACGGCGCAGGCGTTGGGGTTCTCATCGCTGAGGAGGAACTCGGTGGCCTGCATCGCCTGCTGGTCGTAGAAGGCCGTCTTCCACAGCTGCAGCTCCGCCGCCAGTGCCTTCTCCGCCGCCTCCTTGCACTGCTTCCCGTCGCCCCCCTGCTGCTGCTGCTGCTGCTGCGGCTTCCCGTCCTTGTTGCACCCGTCCTTCTCCTTGTCCTTGTTGTCCCCTTTGCCGGGCGCCACCACGTCCACCGGGCGGCGCAGCTTCTTGCGGAGCTTCTCCGGCAGGGCCTTGGCGTCCATGGTGCCCGTCACCGTCACCTGGTTCTTGGCCGGGTCCATCTTCACCTGCTCCACGCCTGCAACACACAATGTAGGTTCCCAATTAGAGGTCTGCGTGCTCGGCGATGCGAATGCGCAGGTACAGGGAATTCAGTCGAGCAGCTAGCGTGCATGCGCTGTGTCCGTCTCTTGAAGAAAAAATGTGGCGTGCATGCGGGATGGGGCAGGTGGAGGAGACGCAGTGCGTGCGTACCTTTGATCTTGAAGAGCTTGCAGCGGATGCGGTGCATGCAGCCGTCGCAGTGGAGGCCGGCGGAGCCGATCTTGAGCACCACCGTCACGATCACCGGCTGCCATCAAACCAAATCGAGAATTCAGTCGAGCAGAGCAATGTCATCATCAGCATACGCATACCATTACAAAGTGGCAAGAAGGATGGATAGGATCAACGAAGGACGCACCACGGCAGGCTTCTTGTTGTCCTTGCCGCCCTTCCCCTTCCCGGCATTGCCGCCGCCGCACTTGTCGTCCTGCTCCTTCTTCTCCTCCTCCTTCTTGCCCTCGCCGTCGGCGCACTTGTTCTTGTCCCCGCCACCGTCGCCGCACTTGTCCTTGTCCCCGCCACCGCCTCCGCCCTTATTGTCCTTGCCGCCGACGAGCTCGACCTTCTTCCTGGTCTTGGAGGCGACGCGGGCCTGCAGCTTCTTGGGGTCGAAGCGGCCGACGACGGTCATGGAGCCCTTGTCCACCTCCATGGCCACGCCCTCCACCCCTGCATGGCCGACAGACACGCGCAGTTACCCACCGGGCCGATCATCGCCAGAAAATTAAGGGAGAAATCATGCACGGGCATGCGCGGAGAACACAGAACAGTGCACGCGCCGCGCCGCGCACGCGTGACAGAGAGGGGAGAGGAGAGGATCGTGCTCGTACCTGGGAAGCGGCGGACGGAGGCGCGGATGCGGTGCGCGCAGCCGTCGCAGTGCATGTCGACCTTGAGCACGGCGGTGACCACGGGGAGCGGGGGCGGCGCCTTCTTCTCCTTGTCCTTGCCGCCGCAGCCCTTGTCCTTGTCCTTGTCCGCCTTGTCGTCCTTGCACCCGCCGCCGCCCTTGTCCTTGTCCTTGTCGTCGGCGGGCTTGTCCTTGGGCTGGCCCTCGCAGCCGCTCCCGGCGTCGGCCTCGGGCTTCTCCTCGTGCTGGCCCCCGCCGCATCCTCCTCCTCCTTCGCCTCCACCACCACCACCCCCGCCGCCGCTGCGCTTCTTCTTCTGCAGCCGCGAGACGAGAGACGAGACACGGAGACAAGGACGGTCAGAGCGGCGGAAAAAAGGAACGGGCCGGAGGCGATTTCGATCGAGCAGATGGGCGTCGACGAGGTGGTGGTCAAGCATGTACGTACCTTGCCCATGGCCGGCGCGCGCGCGTGTCCGGCCGGCCCTCCTCCGATCGATGGAGAACCTTCCTGCTCTGCCGCTGCGGCTGCGATGGGAGGGGAGGGAGGGGTTGGGTTGGGGTTTTAGCCAGAGAGAGGGAGGGGAGCTAGCTGGCTATAGGCACGCCTGCGTACCAACTCGCCCGAGGTGGCAATGGCATCCTCCTGCCGTCTGTTCGTACCCATCAGATCACCGGTGGAATGCCAGTGGAATCTACCGCCTCCTTTTTGACCCCACCGGCCAGCCACGCGGCACGGCACGGCACCGGGAAAAGCCGCTGCGACGGCGTGTGGCGTGGCTGTCACCGTCAGTGGGTTCCCAGTTACCGTGTGGCAGGATGGACAGTGTGCGTGCGTGCGTACGTGGCGGCCGTGGATGGCCGTGCGGCGCGGCAGGATCGCCGTGCTGCGACACGGCCAACGGGATGATGATCAATGAGGAATTGATGGATGGATTGATGTCGTCCCACGTTTCAAATTACTCGTCGCAAAAATGGATGTATCTAAAACTAAAATACATCTAGATACATCCATACCTGCGACAAATAATTCGGAACTAAAATACATCTAGATACATCCATTTCTAAATATAAGTCTTTGTAGAGATTTTATTATAAACCACATACGGATGTATATAGAATTTTAAGTGTAGATTCATTCATTTTGCTTCATATGTAGTCTACCTAGTGTAATCTCTACAAAAACTTATACACCCTCTGTCCCAAAATATAAGAACGTTTTTAATACTACACTAATGTAAAAAAACGTTCTTATATTATTGATTTGTTTTTACACTGACAAAGCACTCCTATCGCATATGGCATGAAAATTGTCAAGCACACTTACCACACTACTAACAGGGACATCGACAAAAAAACACAGAATTTTAAAAATTCTACTAACTAATTTATTTCAAAATGTGGCGGCGTAACGCGGCGGCCGGCCGTGGACGGACGCCGTGCGGTGCGGCGCGGCAGGATCGGCGTGCGGTGCACGGGCAAGGCGAGATGATTAATGCTGGATTGATGGATGGAGTGATATGTGTCGAGTGCGTCCGTCTATACGGCCGGCCGGAAGCCTCAAGCCTGGCAATGGCATTGAGATGGATCGGCCGGTCTGTTCGCGTGGCGCGTGCTTTGGCAGGTGCTGGCTGTGGCCTATACTCCTGGTACGGCCGTCGCCCATCTCGCAGTCTCCTCTGCGCGCTGCGCCTTCCCGTACGTACGTACGCACGGCGCATACACCTGTCACCCCACGGCCCGTGGGCAGAAATCACATATTTGACCTGAGGCAGAAATCAATTCACAAACTGACCTGCTTTCAAAAAAATTTCACTCTGCTGACCCTTCGGTGTGACGCCCGACAGCTGGGCGTCGCACCCTACTGTGCAGCGCCCATCACTTAGGCGCCACACTTGCTGCCAGCGTGGCAGCTCTGGTCCAACTGCGGCCCCACACGCACCTGTGCAGCGCCTAAGTCTTAGGCGCCACACATGTAATGTGCAACACCTAGCTCGTGGGCGCTGCACAGTCTGTGGTCCACTTGGGCTGGCCCCACCCTCTCTCCCCTCCCACCCCCACCCCACACACCCCCACCCCACCCAAACCCTAAGGCTTGCGGCCCTCCTCTCTTCCCCTCTCCCCCCCTCTCAAA